TTTTTTTTTTTTTCTGGTTGTAATAATGGACCATGGTTCAGTAACAACTAAGCTATTAAAATAAACTGGTTTTTAAACTTGTCTTTTTTCTTAGGCTTAGAGAATTCTTAAATGAATTGTTAGATAAATTTGAAGTATTTTTTAAAACTTCAAAATAAACTTGTTAATATTTCATGATTCCCTCAGTGTAGAGATGCACCACACATCTCTAGAGCCAAATTTTATGCTCTTAACATGCAGAATTCACGTCTTTGTTGCCAGTCTGCCCAAAAGATAGTTTTAAGTGGGAATTTTTAAATTTCATTCTGGCTCCTACTGGCAATAATGATAATTGGGATTTGTAAAATTGCCTAAGGTGCACTTACTCATTACGAGAACTAGACCAACAGTTCTTGAGAATATGTTTTCCATCCAATGGAAGCCCACTTTGATCATAGGTGATCAAGTGTAGCATCTGGATTCTTGAGTGTATCATGGAATCATGAATTGCACAAATCGGGGAGGCCAAAATACCACTGCATTGCTTAGTTTGCTAGCTTATGTGAAATAGCGTGTCATGTGTATAAAACTGGTAACTCCATCTGTGATTACATGGGATGCTTTAGTTGTGAATTGCTGTAGGATAGTGTTTAAAACCGGTGGGGACTCTGGTAATACCAATGGTATTACTCAGGATGCAGCTGTATCTTTTTTTTTTTTTTTTTTAATGTTTATTTATTTTTGAGAGAGAGACAGAGACAGAGCATCAATGGGGGAGAGGCAGAGAGAGAGAGAGAGAGAGGGACACACAGATTTCAGAGCAGGCTCCAGGCTCTGAGCTGTCAGCCCAGAGCCCAACGATGCAGGGCTCAAACTCAAGAACTGCGAGATCATGACCTGAGCTGAAGTCAGTTGCTTAACTGACTGAGCCACCCAGGCACCCCACAATTGTATCTTATTAATCCATGCATATTACTTAAGTGGCCAGTGAATGTGTATGAGCTGAGTGATTTCTTTGTTCATTTATCCCTCTTTCTACAAAGGATTTGAGACAGTTTCCAGAAGTGGTTAACTTCTATATAAAAGAGTAAACAGTTGAGGCAATTATGGCAAAGCGAATTACAGTGTTAAGAAAATAATAAAGCTATTACAGGATGAGCATATGATCTGATCCTATAGTGTCAAGAGATGGCTTACACATTTGTCTCAGAGCTTCCTAGTAGCCAAGCAAAGAGGGCAACATTGTGCATAGCTGAAAATAAGCCAGGTGTCCAGGGAAGAAATGTCTGCCTTCGATATTATAAACCAGTGTTTGATATAATGGAGTACATCCTTATAGTATTCTTACAATACAATATATTTTAAAAAATGAAGCAGAACAGTAGGAAGAATGGTATAGACTCAAGTGGCTGTCATCCCAAACATCAGATATATGTATTGTCATATTTGCCTCAGATCATCCTCATTTGAGAAGAAACCAGAGAGAGCAACTTGAGCTGCCTTCTGTCCTTGTCCCGGCCTCATTCTTCTCTCCTGCTTTCCCATCGCGAATCTGATGGATAGCTTGTCACTGTTTTTTCCTTTTTGGTTTTTTAACCTCTACTGAATGTATATATCTGTAAATAATATATAAATCTTAAATTTGCATAAATAAGGTACTGCACATGCCATTCCAAAACTTGCTTTTTTTTTTTCATTAGCGTTGTGTTTGATCTCATCTCCGTGGTGCTGCAGATCTAGTTCATTAATTTTAAATCCTGAAATATGGTTTTCCATTATATGGAAATAACCCAATTTAGTTTTCTATTTCCCTCCTAATGGATTTTTAGTTTGTTCTAGTTTTTCACTGTTACAAGCAGTGCCACACTGAACAGCCTTCTCTGTGTCGTCTTCTGCCCACGGGCAGAGTTTCTCTAGGGCAGTGGTTCTTAAAATGTGGTTCCAGGACCAGCATATCAGGATCACTTGGGAACTTGTTAGAAATGCAAATTCTTGGGCCTAGTTCAAACCTCTGACTCAGAAATTCTGGGGATGGGGCCCAGCAGGTGATTCTGCTGCACACTAAAGTTTGAGAACCCCTCCACTAGCTCATATACAGTTAATGTAGAATTACGAAGTCTTAGGTTGCATGTATATTCAATGTATTGCAAACAGCAAATTCCTATCTAAAATATACATACTAATTTACAGCCTCACTGGCAGTGTATGAGAGTCCCCATATCCCCATATGTGATATGGTTGATTTTTTTTTCTTGCTGGTCTGAAAGATGTAAAACTATTTAAGAGCTATTTTATTTCCTTTTTTGTGAACAATATTTTTATATAGGGTCGTTGGCTTTTGTCTTATGGATTTTGTCGAAAATGTATATATCAATTTGTAAATTATCCTTTTGTCACACACTACAAGCTCTTTTTTTTCAGTTTGTTTTTTGGCTTTGTTTATTGTACTTAAAAAACAGGAGCTCCTGGGTGGCTCAGTTGGTTGAGTGTCCAACTTCAGCTCAGGTCATGATCTTGCGCTCCGTGAGTTCGAACCCCACGTCGGGCCCTGTGCTGAAAGCTCAGAGCCTGGAGTCTGCTTCCAGTTCTGTGTCTCCCTCTCTCTGCCTCTTACCCACTCATGCTCGCTGTCTCTCTCTCAAAAATGAATAACCAAATTCACCCATGGTCGAATGGTTTTGTGCTTTGAAAAACCTTGCAAAGGGAGAACTTTGATTTAGATTTTATTTGCTCTGGGGACACCCTGTGATGTATACACCCTGAGATGTATAGCAGTTACTTGAAAATGGTCTGAGGCTTAGGAGACGGGTCAAAGTTAGATTTGGGCATCATTTGCATAAAGGCAGAAATTTGACATTGGGGATGGATAAAATGAAAGAGAATGTAGATTGAGAAAATGTTTGAGAATGAAGCCATGGGAATAGCACTGGAGAAAGAGAATCTAATAAGAAAGATTGAGGAATGATCAGAAAACAGCAAGGAGAAGAATTTGGAAAATTGGGTACTGACGGAGTATGTATGTGAGCTCTCTACTGCTGCAGAGAAAGGAACACATCCAAGAAAGTAAATGTTGCCCTTTGAGAGAGCAGCTAGCAATGAGGTGAAGAACGGAAGACTACCCTTAATAAGTTTGCACTGAACTGTAGAAGATGCGGTAGTAGTTAGAGTGGTAACAAGGTCATTGTCTTTTAGGAATGCGGTATTTTTGCCCTCTGGGGAAGGAGCCAGTGGCAAAGTTGTATGTGGTGGTCACTGTGCTGGCTGCTCTTTGGCTGCCTTTTCATGAATGTATTTTCTGTGCCCTTTGAGTAAATTCATTTGTAAGATAATATTAGGGATTGGGCAGAAGATTAAAATAGAGTGACGGAATCGTGACTAGTAGGCTGCTTGAGATTAGGTGATCTTCTCTGAGGTTAGCATTGAATGCCAAGGAGCCATTTGAATGATAAGGTAGAGCATTCCAGGCAGGAGACAAAGTTTCCAGTCTGCAAGGTCAAACGGAAATAGGAGAGTATGCCATTAATCTAATAAAATCCTCATGCTTCTTGGGTCAACCAGGGTGAAGAGAGTAACAGAAATCTTTGTCCCCTGACTTTGGAGATCTCGTTTAACCTTCAAACTGGCGATGTCAAGGGTTCCAAGTCCTCCACCTCCGGCAGAAATGTCGAGTGGCCCCGTAGCTGAAAGCTGGTGCTACACACAGGTAGGTTCATGTTTTCACTCTGTAAATCTTGTACCTTGGGAGGATTTTGGTGCATGAAAAGAATAAGGTTTCTTTTCTTCACTGGGTTTCCTGCTTTCTCTAGGACATAACTGTCAAATAGCAGATAGAAAAAGTACTTGTCAGCTTTCCATTCCTTGGTTTTCCTCATGAATCTCCATGTCCTAGGCCAGTGTTTTTCACTGGAGCTTGAAAGAGGGGTGGGGGGGAATCTTTGAAACTAGATCCACTTCTATCCACCTTGATGGAAATGTGTTCCTCTTTGGGCAACTCACAGGAAACCAGGTTTGAGATTTGCAACCCCAGGCAGTGGCATCAACATCTCAATTGTCAAACGCTGCTCTGAGCAAAGGCTCATTTTAGGTACGGCTTTATTATCTGCTTTCCCACCCCTGTCCATGTTTTTCTCACTTTCCACCCAGTGTTTCTCAGAAGTGGAGAAATGTCATGAAAGCAGTTGGTCACTGTGAGATTTCTTAAGATGTGGGTGAGGGACAGAAAAAGCTGAGCCTCCATGCTGGCCAGACAGGGCTATCTTCCTATCATGCAGAGGGAATCATGCAGAGGGAGGGAGGGGAAATGATTATTTGATCTTCAGCCTGTGTTTTAGGTTGCCTCCTTCCTATTTAATTGCTTCTTGGTTTTCTGTCAACAGATCAAGGTAGTGAAATTCTCCTACATGTGGACCATCAATAACTTTAGCTTTTGCCGGGAGGAAATGGGTGAAGTCATTAAAAGTTCAACCTTTTCATCAGGAGCCAATGATAAACTGAAATGGTGAGGAAGAACATATCTAGCTATAAAAATTTTTCTAAAAGTTGCCCATTTTCTTGGTTTTACAACACAGCCTAGCTAGGATATAAGATCCTTGAAGGTGGAGACTTTGTTTTGTTCCTAACGTGTTCCCCGGCGCCTAGAACAGTGCCTGGCCCATGATAGGTGTTCACTGTACATTTGTTGAATTAGTTCAATGACTATGTCAGGGACCAGCAAACTCAAATGGCTGTAGGGTAATATAAATGAGTAAGGAGGGCCAGTGTTGTAAATGATAACTCATACACGATACGGTATGAGCGTTGACCCCTTGGCAGATGAGTGAGCGTCCTTCTGAAAGGGGTGGTGGCCGCTCAGCTCCAGCTGTCTGTAGCTATGTGGGAGTAAGGGCCGACCGTTGACATATTTTCTGATTCGAGAAAAGCAAGAAATTCAGATGTTAGCCCAAAAAAAATCTCAAGTTTTAAATTGCCTGCTTTTAACAATAAAGGAGATGTATTTGCTTAGGCAATCAGAATGCCCGGGGTGTAGGATGGTTTGGAAGGTAGTTGGACCCAGCAGCCCAGCAGTGAGTTTAAGGACCCCATCTCTCTCTGCTGTCCACGCTATTGAACATCTGAAGTCTGGCTTCACCCTTGTGGCTGAAGGATGAGTGGCAGTGGCCACAGGTGTAACACCTGCCATTCGACAAAAGTCTTTGAACTTTCTTTGAATTAACTGTGTGGCCAAGAATACGTCAGACATCCACTGACTGGTTTAGGTTTGTGTTCCCTCAATTAATCTTTGTGGCAAGAGGAATATGATCGGAGCGTGGAGGTCAGCCCCATCCAAATCACGTGTCCCCTTGAGGCAGCTAAGGATACAACCATATGCTCGCTGCAAAGACCGGAACACGTGTGCGAGCCACCAGTTTTGATCTCTGATAACCCAGCGAAGAGTTAAACAACTCTCCGTCCATGCATTGTTTGTTGGCTGTGTACATTAAGCAGTGTATTACTAGGTGATACTGAGAGAATGCTTTATTCTTAGGCGTTGTGTTTAAATTTGCATCTTGAGCACAACATACAGTGATGTATACGGCATATGCACACCCTAGAGAGGCACTGCATTGGGCCACCTGTTTGAGAGAGGTGCCATAACACTGGCATGGCCTAAGGATACATCTGGCCTATGGATTGTATGTGGTAGGAGCAGTGTGAACCACATGCAGATCAACTAATGACATTTACAACTTAACTCAGTCGAACCTATTAAATTCTGTCTGAAATTTGTTTTGATTCAGTGCAACAGATTGTCATCTCTGACTCTCTTTGGAAGCCTAGCTTGGAACTCTATCCTGTGGAATGGGAGTTTGCTTTTGTCTGTGCTTCCTCCATACTGCCTTCTTTATTTCAGTCTTAGAATATTATTGCCAGATTGATAAAATGTCCGTAAAAGATTATGTGCTGTTCACACATTTCTTTGCAATACTTTTTCTCTCCAAAGGTGATATTAAAGGGCTCAACAACGTTGTGTTTTTCATGGCTTCACTATAGTCCTGACCAAAGAAGGGGCAGCCTTTCCTGAGACTGAGGATTAGAACAGAGTGGAAGTAGGCTCAATTTTCAAATGTTTTCAGGGGAGAAAAGAGTGATTTGGGAGATTATGAGGAAAGAGGCAGAGATGTAAGGGATGTGGTGTCAGATTCTAGAATGCCCTTCTATTTTTATTGTTTACTCCTTAGAAGGTGACTCAGGTTGCTCCCAAATAGTGGTTCCCAAAGTAGTCTTCTGCTGAATCAGAATCTCCCACTATGGGGCCTGGATTGGTTCTCTTAACATCTTCTTCTCTCAAGAAATAGATGTTTTGTATCTCCTGTCACATCACAAAACCTACAAACATGGATGCTTTTGACCTATATTTTTTTCCCTGTCTGTTTTGGGCAGGTGTTTGCGAGTAAACCCAAAAGGGCTAGATGAAGAAAGCAAAGATTACCTGTCACTTTACCTGTTACTGGTCAGCTGTCCAAAGAGTGAAGTTCGGGCAAAATTCAAATTCTCCATCCTGAATGCCAAGGGAGAAGAAACCAAAGCTATGGGTAAATGTTCTGCTCTTCATGCAACTCTTTATTTTCACATCAAGCAACTTCATACACAGACAAGTTGTAGATTTGATCTGTGTTCTGAGTAACCCTAAATATGACTTTTTTTTTTTTTTTTTCCTACTCCAGAGAGTCAACGGGCATATAGGTTTGTGCAAGGCAAAGACTGGGGATTCAAAAAATTCATCCGTAGAGATTTTCTCTTGGATGAGGCCAACGGGCTTCTCCCTGATGACAAGCTTACCCTTTTCTGTGAGGTGAGTCCTTTTACCCCACGGTGAGACAAGCAATCCCCAGACCTGCTGGGAATCGGTAGGCTTCATTATGTTGTTTCAGGGATGGAGAGTGAGAAAAATCCCCAAGTGGTGTGGCGCAACCCAAGCGTTACTTCTGTGATTGAAACTGTCGTGATTTCGGGCTTGTTGGGCACCTCAGCTTTCTGCTCGTTGCCATTCTTAAAAACAAAGATGGTGCGCCATCTTGGTAGGAGTGATTTTTGACTTGCTTGGGTCAGGATTCTGGCTTTTTCATTGCGGGTGTTTGCAGATAGAATTTGGAAGGGCCGGTGCTGCAAGACGAGGAGAAGGGCCAGCAACTCAATATATATATTTGTCCCGTTACCCTTTCCGACTTCTTAAGTGGGAAGGCTACTTGTGTTTGACTCCAAATCACTTTCCTTTTCTGCTCTACTGGATGACTCTTGCCAGGAGTTGGGTATATCACTTTGTCTTGCTGGAGTGGTTGTGAAATTAGGAAGGTGAGAACCATTTTTTCCAGGGTGAAGGGTAGGTATAGCTCTCTAACTTGTGGTTGGCTAGGCGAGTTCCGTGTAGTCAGCCAGGAGGGTCCTTCTTTCACCAGTGACCCAGGAGCCTTTCTGGGTTTACAGGAGAAGCCTTGAGGTAAAAATCCCAAAGTGAGAGTGAGGCAGAAAGTGGTTTCTTTAATAAGCATATACTAGTCAGTCATTTCATGCCATTATCAGTGTATTTAAGATCCTCACAAACTCAGAGTCACAAACGAATGAAGCCTCCAGTCGGATGGGATCTTTGTGTTCCCTATGCGTTGTATGGTCAAGAACCACTTGCTGAGCGGCACCACTTGAGAGTGACCACTGTGTTTTCACGGGGAGGGTGCAGGCAAGTTCCCCGACTGCCAATGTGCTCTGTCATAATGGTAGGTTCACACCGTGAGTTAACGACAGGTCCAAAGGCTTATCACCACCTGCGCAGTGGGGCAGGGTGTCCCTTCGGAATCCTGCCCTTTTGTGGAAGAGGCCTGGCCAGCAGTCGCCAGCTTCTCTCCCCGGTCACAGCTTGCGGAGTGTTTCTGCAGAGTAGTTGCTGGGGATTAGAAAACTATGGACGCATAGTTTATTAAAGGACTGCACTAAATACATAAATAGTCGCGTAATAGCTACCTCCTCTCCTTTCTCATTGCTAAGTAAAAGAAGGAAATACTAGAGTGATGGCCTCTCTGTAAATACATAAAATGTTGCAGTTGTTTTTGTCTGTGAACTTGAAATTTGTATTCTATGTAAGTCCTATTATTTACGGATCGTGCTCAGTTGCCCTGGTGAAAAAATGAGAACAATTAGGTGGTTTTGTATGAGCTTTGATGTTATGAAACGTTAAGACCATCAATTTAGTGTTACCTCTCTTAGAGACCTATATTTCAGAAAGATTTTAAAATAGTGGAAAATTCTATTTTCTTTTGGAAACGAAAGCCAGTCTTTGAACTGTTCTCTGAAAGAAGAGAAATCTCTAAATATCGCCTCTGGTGTTCTAGGCAAAGCCTCAACCTTTATTGCCACATTTTCCAGTCCACAGTCGGTCCAGCCTCTTCTGCTTTGCTCCCCCTTCCAGCCCATCCCCCCAAATCCCTTCCAGCTACTCCAACCCCTGTATCGCCATTCTCGATTTGGAAACCAATTGGCCTGCCCTCACTTGGCAGTCTCTTACCCTGTGGTTAAGTCCAAGGCTTTGCTTCCCCATATGAAATTCTCTCCCTTCACTTCCCCATATGAAATTCTCTTAGGAGAAATCCTGTGGTTAAGTTTAGATTTGTCTTACTGACTTCGAAGGGAAGTGAGATGACACTTTGGAAATGAGGAGATGTTGAACAGGGAAACGTCTGCTGAGTTCTGCTGATGCCATCGGTTTCTTCCCATCGAACCAGGTGTGCCATCTGTTCCGCTCACACTTCTCTGTTGGCCACAGGTGCTGAGTGTTGCTTCTCATACTTGGGCTTGTGCCTAGTGAGACTCGTTTCTGTTCCCAGGCTCTCCGCGGACTTAGTAGCATTCAGCATTGCAAGACGGTTGCGTGGGGGGGGGGGGGGGGGGGGTGTTGGATGTGTGGGTTTTAAAAATGTCTGCAGCTCATCTGAGTTCTTAGTGCTTTTCAAAGCTACATCATTCTTTGCTGCACACTCTATCCTTTTGACCTGTCGCTCCCTTTTGTCAGTGGATTATTTATAAACCGGTATTTGGTTCATATTTTTATTTTATGTATCATTGGTTTAGTTAGTATTTTTTTATTATTCAGAGGCTTTTATGCAGTCGATGTCCACATACAGATTTAGGTTATGAGTCTTCCACCGCTCCGTTCGTCACTCAGCCTTTGGCCTGGGTACTTCCCTCCTATCGGTCAGTGGATTATTTATAAACGAGCTTATTGCATCTTGGTAACAAAAGTACGGTTGTTCCATGGGTTCTTTTGGCTGTTCCTAGAGGCCACACGAGGGAATCCTGAGGTGAAAGGCTGAGAATCACGTTTGTCTTTGGGCTTTATTTCAGCGGTTAATGAACATTTAAATGAAACTAGATCGCTGAATGAGCAGTCTCGTTTATAATGCGCCACACTGGGTTCACCTCTCAGTGATGTTCTTGTCTATTAGGAAATGGGACGATTCTTGCAAGTCGCTATGGCTTAGTTAACGCATTTGGAAGCATTTTCAAAGCATTCCCTGAATTGTCTCTCATCACAATCCTCGGAGCCGGATTAGTTCTCTTACCTTCATTTCGCGTTACTGGGGGGAGAAGCAGTGCCTAGGGAGGTCAGGGAATTTTTCCTAACCTTGTACAGCAAATTAGTGTCGGGCCGTGGCAGCTGCACGTTCCCCCCTCTCGTCCGCCACGCGGCGCCACGCGGAGCCGAATGCCGTTTGGCCGAGGAAGCGTGGGCTCTACCACGTTTTCTTAACAGAGACGGTCTACTTTGGCGATGAAAGGCTCGTGGAGGCTGTACGCTTTTAATTTTCCCTTTAATAATTTGGTTCACAGTAAAATCTCCGTGAAGTGTTTCAGCTTCTATTGATTCTTCTCTCTGTTTATATTGAAAACGGATAGCTATAAACCATAAAAATGCATATATCCCTCTCTCACTGTGTGTGCCTCTGACAGGCAGAAGATTCCGGTGTCTGTCTGTAATGTTGCAATTAAAGTTGAAATGTGAAACACCATATGAATGAAATACCAAATATGAACTATCTAGACCCTAGTGGAGTCTTAAAATAGCACTTTCCTTCTCAAACATAGAATATCCTCTCATGGCCCGGGAATATGTATTTTGACCAAATTTTAAATTATGTGGGTCTGTTTTTCTTTTTTATCATCTTATTAGTGGATGGTCTGGAGATATTGGTTGAACTGTATGATAACGCCAATATTGAGTCCTCTTGACCTACGGAAATGATTTAATATGTAACGTTATTACAGGTTATAAACATAATGTTGTAAACCTAATACCCGACCCAACAGCGTCACCAGTAACTCGGAACTGGCCTGTGTGCTTCTCCCCTCTCCCCTGGGCCTCATCCCCACTCAGAGGATGATCTGTTTCAGATTGTACATTATCATCCCCTTGTTCATTTGTGTGCCTGAACAGCGACCTGTTTAGGTTTGCTTGTTTGTGCCCTTGATAAAAATGGTGTCAGAATGTACGCAGGTCACGTAGGTCACGTTGCTTTCTTCGCATCGTGTGTCTAAAATGTCTTTATGTGGCGGGTATAACTAGGGTTCTTTCATTTTTAGTGCTCTGTAGTAGTGTGCTGTGTGAACGAATATGCAACAGTTTATTTATTCGTGCTCTTCTTGGCGCGTGTCTAGATTGTTGCCAGTCTTTTGATTAGAAGTAATGCTGCTGCTACAGACCATCTCTGTGCGGCAGCCTATTGTTTCCTTGGTTGTTATCATTATATAGAAGCTTCAAAATACATTTCCATTGGTCTCACCTTGGCTTTTTATGTTTAGATAAAATGTACAAGAATTGGCACAGCCTTTAGTCTTTTATGGAATTTTCTTCTCTAAGAAGAGAAATCGACTTTAAAAGTGAGGCCCGTTTACAACTTGAAACATAGAGGGGTATATATTCCTGAGACATTTTCATGCAGTCATTTCTAAGACGACATAAATGTCACCGTCACGTCATCTTCACAGCTGCAATTCTGAATGAGTCTCCATAGTCGACTTCACAGGCATTAACAAAAAAAAAAAAAAATCTTTAGTTTTTCTCAAAATGGTCTCATTTTAGCATCATCGTTTGCAGAGGAAAACAATCCCTTCCTGAGTTGAAAGTTTGGACTCTGAAGACTCATTTGTGAATGCCATTTAAAATTTATTTTTAATTAAGCGTATTTAATGTTGGTGAGAGGTGCCAGACATTCAGAGCTCTGGAGACTCCAGGCATCCATATATCTACAGCACAAGTCTGGCTCAGACAGTAAAGGTACATTCTCCTTCCTGCTGTGTTCCTGTCTGTGTCTGGAGAGAGGAATGGCCCCAGCGAGACAAGTCATAGTCTTTGGGCCTCCCTCATTACCAAGCGCACATCCAACCAGCAGAGGGTCCGCCGGTAACGGTAGCTCGGAATTCAGCTTAGCTCTAGCCAATTCATTTTACCCAGTCTAGTAAATCGCCATCAAGTGTGAATGACTCTGGGCTCCTGTCAACCTGGTTTAATTTAAGCTTAGGAACCCACTGCCAGAAGCGTTCTCCGTTCCCTTCATTGACCATCCCAAGACGTTCCAGCCTTTCCCAATGAGGAAGTCGGATTTAATTGGTCTTTTCCTTTCTTTTTCCTTTCTTTTTTTTTTTTTAAATCTGTATTTCCAGGCTATGACTGGAAACAGGAAACTTCTACTTTTGGTGTTAGTATGAGAAAGTGGCTAGACCAAACTAGAGGTCTTAGGGCAAGAGAGAATCTCTGTGGGGTAGTTTGTGCTGGGTCCTGAGCTATTAAAATAACGTTATAATCTGGCTCTGATAAATGTGCTACAAACGTTAAGTACATTCATAATTGATTAACTTGGCTGCTTCATTGCTGGAGATCACAATGGCTAGTTTTAAACAAATGACTAAATTTCTTGAGCTGATAGTAAATATCTCACTCCTGTGCAAAAGAGACTACGGGTCACCTGGATGGGGCGTTCATTTTACCTCTGGGTTTGTGACTGCATTTAAGGGGTAACTTGCATCTTGAAGGGTGAGAGAAACTTGGGTCATTTAGGATGTTCCTTGAGCTGTCTTTCTCATCTAACTCATAGCAGTAGCAAGAGTGAGGAGCCGATTCTCAAGGTTTGTGAATTCGGCTTTATATTAACATTCCTAACCGCATACGATGGAGATGAGGCATAGCAGTGGTTGTTAGGCAGAAGACGGATCTGCTCGGTCTTACCTTCAGTTTGGTAGCTTCCGTTTATTTTGGGATGCTGTATGATGTATAGATTCTTGTACTTGGTATCCTAACAGATTTATCTGAGTTTCACTGACCCATTTGGAAGTTACTTGGGTTTTTATCTAGGCCGAACAGTTCATTCAGCTAGTTAAAGCACGCTGCTGTTGAAGTCGTCGTGGCGGGTTGGATCCCTCCGTCAATCTGTGGTCCTCATTCTGTTCCAGAGCAGTAAGTGCATGTCTAGCTGGAGCCAGCCATCTTGTATGTCATCGTCACAAAGGACCGAGTAAAAGCGTGTAAATGGTGTGGGCTACCCACCCAGCTATCACTGCTGGGGAAGACCTTCCCAAGCCCAGTTCTGTTTATTAGACTAACCTCTATGAGGAAGCGCCAATTATTTACCAGGCCCAATAGAGGCTGCATTTTATTTTCGTGGTCCAGACCTCATTAAAATAAAGTGCTTTCAGGCTTATCAGATTCTTGCTTCTCGAGAGTTTTAAGTGGTAGTTTCTGTAGGAGTTCTTTGTATTTGACCTTTTGCTTAAGGCAGAATAAGGTAAATACTTGAGGTTTAATACATGTTTAGGTCAGTGTCCCCGTTCCCCCGTGTCTTCTTCCCCCCGCCGCCCTGTGGCTTTGCCCAGGTTTTCAGGGCAGGGGAGGTGGAGCTTATTAGCAGTTGGAGGAGAAGGAGATTTGTGGGGCTTTGTGCTTCTCGTCTTAGGATGGTGTAGAGTAAGTATGATCGCGGCAGATTGGAAATTACTTGATCCACAGGATAAAGCCTTCATTTGTGGAGGTGGTTTCAAGAGAACATGACTAACGTTTGTATCTGAATGTACTACAGCATCGAGGTAAAAGTCATCTCTCTTCCTGCTGGGAAGAAAATTCCTGGTAACAGAACCTTTGGACTAGATTTCCTTGTCTTTCACAGGTGAGTGTGGTGCAAGATTCCGTCAACATTTCTGGCCAGAACACTATGAATATGGTGAAGGTCCCTGAGTGCCGGCTGGCCGATGAGCTGGGAGGACTGTGGGAGAACTCCCGGTTCACAGACTGCTGTCTGTGCGTTGCTGGCCAGGAGTTCCAGGCTCACAAAGCTATCTTGGCAGGTTGGTATTTATTCATGGGAAGCTTTAGTTTTGGTGAAACAAAGAAAAACCGTGGCTGCATAATCACCTTTTGAATAACATCACTTTTTCGAACTGGTGCAGAAAAACTGCAACTAGATGTATTTTTTTATGGTGGGGAACGTGAGTCGTCATAACCCAGAAGACTACTGTCCATATTAGGTCACCACTGTCGAGCAGTGGATGATGATGTGTATTGAATGCCTTTGTACCTAGAGGGTAGATGTCAAAACGCCGGTAAAGAGCAGGTGTTAGCCCCTAGATAGGGACTTAGGATGTAACGGAGAAGATTCTGGACCCAGGACCAAACCACCGTCTGGCTAAGTCCCCCAGCCCTGGAGTGTTAGCCCTCCCTGCAGCACAGACTATGCTATAGGAGAATGAGAATGACATGGAAGATCAGGTCTTGCTCTCATAAGAGGCCCTTGGTCCTTAAGACCAGAAAGACTGACACAGAACGGCCCCTGATAAGGCAGCACTGACTTCACCTCCCACGAAGGCATAGCAGTCAGCCACAAACTTCTGTTCAGACCATAAGCCATAAGAGGAAGTCACGTGAACTTTCAGGCAGCAAATTTCTTACCAAGACTCTCGGCAGTATCATTCTAAAACACACACCTGGCAAAACCTCAGTCTGGCTCAATCCAGCCGTCTTCCTGTTCCTGCTCGCAACTAGGTGTTACCGTGTATTGCCAAAGGAAGTCATTAACTCTTAGGTTAGCGTCTCCACGCTCGGCTAGGCTCTTGGCACCGTCAGGAGCTCTTCTGCAGATACACCGCTCCCTTTCTTTTTCATAACAATAGATACTTCAGACTGTTTACTGGTCTCCTTCGATCTCCAGCTCCTAAAAGAGATGCTTGCCGCTGCCGCTGCTGCCGCTGCTGAGAGAATATTGAGGCCCTTCTCCCTCCGCTTTTGTCTGTCGCCTTACCTGCCTTCTCCCTGCGCTCTCCGTGGGGGGGTGTTCTTCCTTATGGCCAAAGCAGCCTATCTTTTCAACTTCTGTTTCGTATCACAGGCCGCCTTCTCAGAAGCCTCACTCTGCCAGTCATACCCTTGCTGGGTCTCTCTTTCTCCAACTGCCTGTTTACCCCCAGCCTGGAAGCAGACAGGCTCGGGCTTCTCCTTCTAGTTATTCATTCATTTATTCTCTCTCTCTCTCTCTCTTTAAATAGAGCTGAGCTTCTTGAGTTAGCACATCTACTGTCTCAACTTCTTTCCTCCCACTTATCCTCAGTTCACCTCCATGCCACGAAAGCAGTTTTCCAAAGTTCTGTGACCTGCTAGTTCCTAAATCTGAGGGATTCCTTAGTTCATATAGTACTTGATTCCTTTCTCCTGGTTTTTCCTCCTGGTGCTCTGGCTACTTCTGATACGTGGCCTCCCTCTTCTTCACGCATCCCTGTCAACACTGGTGTCCCTAAGGGTCCGCCTCAGTTCTCTTTTCCTCTACTTACTTCCCCCCAAGTGATTTTATTTATTCGCATAGCCTCAGTTTCTGTCTAGCCACCGAAGACCCTCTAAGCCTGTTGCTGCTCGGACCCTTCCCTTTTTACTAAAAGCACCAACCCTTTAATCTTCAACTTCTGTGAAGTATTTTAGTACCTTACAGTTGATGAGCCTTCTGAAATAAAAGCAATGAGAACGAATATCTCTTTGGAATAGACTAAAATATTGAGTCTCAGAGGGTTGAGTGGTTTGCCCAAGATAATGTGGTTAGAAAATGACAGATCCAAAATTAGTTCTTGTGGACAGAAACTGTAGGCCAACGTTCAAGTAACCTGTTAGCTCAGAGTTCTATATATTCTGTCTGGTCCTCCTCTCAGGTGGAGATTGGTAGTCTCAGCTTTTGCCAAAACCTCTGATTTATTGGGCAACATGATAAAATCTGAGTTTTTTTAGGCCTTTTATCACTTTCATGGTTGAAATTAAGTGGACTTGTTTGTCCACGTTCATTAGACTACAGTGGGCATGGCCTCGAACACCGTTTCTCACCTTTTTTCATTATCCCCAGTCCTCCAAGGGGAAAAAAAAAAACAAATTATTCCTAATGGGAGACAGTAAATACCAAAGATTAAGATTTTGTCAGGAAGGGTTGAGTTTTGAAGGGCCACAAGTGGTTGTAAGATTGTTTTTGCCTCTTTGGGGCATTATCGTCTCTAATGTGAGTGCATGGCTTGAAGGAACAGACAACCTGCCATCAACAAGCATGCACTTCTTCTAGTTAATGGATGCCTTCGAGCCCTGTTCTTGACCTCCTTGCCCGCGTGATCCCTGGAACTGGAGAAAGTCGGTGTCATGGTTTCAGGCAAAAATCCGGGTATTAAAACATGAAGGATCTTCCATTTGAACCCCCACGTCTACCCAGAGGAGATCGTTGTCATCCAGCATAGGTCATTTGCTTCAAATGAGTGGTTGGAATGGAGCTAATGAGAAATTATTTTGCAAGTCATTTCAGGACACTCGGTTGGCTCAGTCAGTAGAGCATATAACTCTTGATCTCAGTGTTGTGAGTTCAACAACTCACAACAAGCTTTAAAGAGCAAAAAAAAAAAAGAGTGTCTGGGTGGCTCAGTTGGTTGAGCATTCGGCTCAGTTCATGATCTCACAGTTCGTGTGACCAAGTCCTATGTAAGGCTCTGCGCTGATAGTGTGAGACTTGCTTGGGATTCTCTCTCTCTGCCCCTTCTGCATGCATGCATGTGATCATGCACTCTCTCTTTCTCTCTCTCTCTCAAATAAACAAACATTTAAAAAAGAAAAAGAGAAGAAAGTATTGGTTTCTTTTTCCCCCTTATGTATTATTATTTGCTTATTGGTATAATAGAAGAAGAAAGGAATTTTATTATTCTGATACAATTTGAGGCTAAGACCCTTTTCCTATAGCAATGGGACAGGAAACAGAGTGGTCTCTTCATAACAGAAGAGCCAAGAGGTTTCAGTGTGATAACCTTATCTGTCTCTGTTCCCCTTTCACTTTGTAGCTCGTTCTCCAGTTTTTAGTGCCATGTTTGAACATGAAATGGAGGAGAGCAAAAAGGTATGTGACGGAATGAAGATATGTCTTTGTAGCTAGGTGGCTAGATCCAGATGATTTCCTAATTTGACACCAGATTTATTTTTCCAGTCGTGTTATTAAAATGGCGTAGCATTCTCACTTTCTCAGAGCAGGGAGAGGTGGTCCGGAAGCATTCTAAGTAAAGCAAACTCACTGTGTCCCAGGTGGATCATCCAGTTTGGAGGGAGGGTTTTAGACAGGTGTTTCCACTCAGAAAAAGTCCAAAAAAAAACCAAAACAAAACCAAAAACAACTCTTGTATTTGAGAGGGTAAAGGTGGTGCATAGGATAGGAGGAAAAGCTGTTCTCATGAAGTAGGGCAGAGAGAGATTGCCCATTCGTGTTAGGTTTCAGATGATACATGCCTTACTCCCACCGGAGCTTAAAGTCATGAAAATTGTTTGGGGGTTTTGTTCTGTTGGAATGTTTCTCATTTTTAGTTTTTCTGGCATAGAATCGGGTTGAAATCAATGATGTGGAGCCTGAAGTTTTTAAGGAAATGATGTGCTTCATTTACACGGGGAAGGCTCCGAACCTCGACAAAATGGCTGATGATTTGCTGGCAGCTGCTGACAAGGTGAGATAAGAATAGAAAAATAGGGGCGCCTGGTAGCTCAGTCGCTTAAGGGCCTGACTTTTGATTTTGGCTTAGGTCACGATCTCATGGCCATGAGATTGAGCCATGGTCATGGGATTGAGCCGTGCGTCAGGCTCCGCTCTGGGTCTGGACGGAGCCTGCTTAAGATTCTCTCTCTCCCTCTGCCCCTCCCCAGCACATGCACGCATGTGCGCGCGCGCTCTCTCTCTCTCAAAAGAAAAGAAAGGGAAGGACAAGAAAACCACAAGAGGAGGAGTTTTTTGTGACCTTTTGAGTTCATCACTGGGCGGCTGTGTTACATAGTACATCAGATGAACTTGTGTCTGAGTGTGGCCAGGACAGTCCTGCGTTACACGTGGGTGCCAACACAATTATTGGTAGAACCCTTTTTATCTTTCAAAGTGTCCTGCTTTGAATGAAGGAAACTACATGGTCACCCTGATTATAAAAAAGGATAAGTCTGATGTTTACCTCTCTTCCCTTCACTGTTGTGATTACATATAAGCACAGTGATACTGAAGTTTTAGGTAACGCTAACATTTGGATTTATGATTTGGCCTTATAATTTATGAAGTGTTCTGGAGTTTGTTAACTTTTTTTTTTCTAAACAGTGAGTGATTTTATTTTCCTTTTAATTCCAGTTAGTTAACATACAGTGTTATATTAGTTTCGTGTGTACAGTCCCATAATTGAACACTCCCGTAAGTCATCCTGCGCCCATCATGACAAGCAGACTCTTTCACCTCTGTCACCGGTTTCATCCTTCCACCCACCTACCTCCCCTGAGTTCCTTAACTTTCTTTGCAACTTTGTCAGTAAGAGAATAATCTTTTGCTCAGGGTCGTGGTTGGCATTTTCAACTTTTACCTAGGTATTTATTGAAATACACCATATTCAGAATTACGAGATGATGGGTCGCTCCTTGGGAAAAAAGAAATACTACTGTAATAAACATGTGTGTCGATTGTAAGATACACTTCAATTTGAGAATTATTGAAGTGTGAAAATTAAAATATGGATCTTCGAATCAAGGAAATAAGGTGATGACCAAAACAGGCCAGTGATTCTCAAAATAAGTTGGGGGGAAATGTTAATGAAGCACTGAGTTTAAACAAGTCAAATTGAGGTTTTTGTGTGTTGCTGTCTCACTGCAGGATTTCTCAGAATGTTTACTATGTTAATGTGCGCTGTGAGTTATCTAAAAGAATATGATAGCATTTCTCTAATTTAGTTAACCCTGGAATCCTTTCCTTCAGGGACCGGTGGGGATTATTGGCCCCCAAAACACACTTTGGGAGACTGACTTTCATTGTGTAGATACATCAGAAAGAGCTCGGTAACCTGTCCTCCAAGGCCCTGTGGTCTGAGGAAATACAAGCTGGGGGGTTGGGTGGCTATTCATCCTGTGAAAGTTTTCCTTAAAAGGCCTTAAACCTGGCCAGCAGTAGACCCTGTGAGAAGGACAGTTCCCTGCCGGAAGTGCTGCCGCTTCCTGCCACAATGCTGCAGCACCCATCCGAGGGCAGAGCTGGTTCAGACCGAAGGGCACTAGAGCCTTCCCGGGATTGGCCCATAGGAATAGTCTCCTTCCACCTTGCTTTGCACCTTGGGAACAGAGGAAGTACTTGTTTTTACAGTGGAAGCTTTATCTTTATTGATCAGCTCTTCGGAGTGTTTGTAGAGGATGAGGCCTGTAAACCCAATCGGTGCTACTGATGAAAACGATTGAATAATAGCTGTATCCTTCTTATCAACCTTTCGAGATTTTATTAATACAGTTAAGCACTGTGAACATGCCATGCCCTCCCAGTCTAGCCAGCTCAGCTCTGACCACAGGAATCTTGCTTTCAGTGGAGGCAATAAGAAATACACACTGTGAACTCTGGGGAAACAGAAGACACAGCTTTTAATACACATGAGTTTATAATGAGTGTGCCTCACCCGCCCTCTGATTTTCGGTGAAGTTTACACGCACCAGATTGTTTATCCCTCTCGTCTTCTAGCTCCCGTAAGGACGAGTAGTATCAAAAGGCCCACTTTTTAGATGGAAATACCAAGGCTCAGCGGTGGATATTCTCAGAGCCAGGGTTTGACATCTGCGGCATTCCTGGGGTGTCCGTTCCTGCTCCTCGGCCAGAGAGCCGACCGGGGAAGCCCCTGTGAGCGCACGGAGCGTGGGGATCAGCCTGAATTGACCTTCTGTGGATGGTATTTTCAGTACAGTGCCGTTAACTTACAGTTTTAAAAGATAAAGTAATTGAATCGCAGCAGTGCTTTAAATTTGTGAATGAGAAGTAAGCGAAGGTGCATTTTCAAATTCCATTCAGAATTTCCCATTAGACAGTCTCTGCTCCAAGCTTATTTTAAAATATTTTTACCTTTGCCCCTTGTTGTGAGCTTCAGGAAAACAGAATAAGAAATCCTTCATGGAAGGATCTAAACATCTAGAATTTACCCAAGAGGCTGAAACAGCTTCTTCTGAGCCTTTCCAGTCTCCTGGGGACATGTGTAATTAGACCAAAAACAAAACAAAACACGTCGGCCAGGCCTGGGAGACACAATTTCGATCTCTTGGGTAAGTACAACCATTAGGCAGGTTTTTCAGAAGCATAATTAAGAAAAAAAAAAAAAAAAAAAAAAAAAAAAAAAAAAAAAAAACTTTGTCCCTTAAGGGACAAGAATGGCTACTTTTGTCTAATTATGCAGTAGGGATCAGAATTGTTCACGGTAAAAGTCCTTTTTAAAAGAAGGCATCGAGAAAGGGTAAGAGGAATGTTCTGTGCAGCACTGTATAAAGACTGAACCATCTACTCAACCTTTTGCAGCCTTTTAAAACAAAAACGGCCACCTCATTTCTTGCTTGTCTAGTGTCATTCCTGTTTTCCATGGAAACTGTTTTCCAGTTACTCAAATGTAAAAAATTAAAGCTGCACCAAAACCAATAAAACTCTCTTTTGGCTGCAGGAGATCACAGTGCCAACAGATATGCCTCCTCACCCAGGATTCGTAAAAATGAAATTGTCTTGGTCTGACTGCCACGACTCGGCCTCAAGGAGTGTTGTGTCATTGCGTTCTGAGGTCCTCAAGGTGGGACCTATACGGAGACTGTGGCTGCCCGTAAAGCAAACCATTCTCCTGTGAACTGATTAACTACACTTTATTTTGTGCCTCCTTTTATCCCTTCCTCCTCGCTGCTGAAGTTCCTTAGTTATGTTCATAATCTCCTATTTGAGAGCACGTAGTCCAGCGGCATCAGAACAGATCAGCTAGGTCAGATGTGCCCAGTATTAACCTAGACCTTCACTTCCGGGAAGTGAATTTATACCCTTTACTCTGGGAAGTGAATTTATACCCTTTACTCTGGAAAATAGGAAGCTTTTAGATCGGAACAGGATCCAGGGTCTCTGTTACTTTGTCCTTCTGCCCTGAGAATCTTGACTTCAGCCCCAGTAAAGAGGACCCATTTATCCCTTTCTCTTTCAAAGGAGGCCTTGGGTTGACCCTCATCGAGGCCCAACTAGTGGTGCAGACGCTGCTGAAAGTCACCGCAGGGCTCCTTTTCACAGCCTGATGGGCCCGTTGGGCTTCCCCGCCGGGCTGGTGACAGTGCCCGCGTAGAAAGGGCTGTGCCTCGCCCTAGTTTGGCTCTGAATAAAGGATGGCAGAAATGCCAAACGTGATGTCCTGTTGGCCTGAAGCAGAGTTTTATGCCTCGTGGTAAGGGAGGGTGGGTGGCGGTGGTCTAAGGAACACTTGCATCCTACTCGGGGCAGGGTGAACTTGAGGTTGGGGGTCTACTCTGTAATTGCCATCTTTCTAATAGGCAGACTTGAGGACTTGAATGGCAGCCAGGCACATTTTTTCAGCTGTCTTCATTCCAGCCTTGGGGGCATGGTTATGTCTTATAATTGCAGTAGTAGCCTTCTCACGGGCCGTGCGGTTTTATTCAGGAATCCATGATGGTGCAGCTGAAGAAAACGGCTTCAGTAGCGGCAGCCGGAGCCGTTCCCGCTCTGACGGCCGCGGCACTTGTGTTTTACAGTATGCCCTGGAGCGTTTGAAGGTCATGTGTGAGGATGCCCTCTGCAGTAACCTCTCCGTGGAGAACGCCGCAGAAATTCTCATCCTGGCTGACCTCCACAGCGCGGATCAGTTGAAAACTCAGGCAGTGGATTTCATCAACTAGTGAGTTGGCATCTTCAAAGATGTTCTTTCAAGATAGTTGGGGTAGCTAGAGAGACGAGAAAGACTTTGAATTAGTGAGGAAAACGGGCAAGTAGCTTCATTAACCCCTTTTAGTAGTAAGTAGAGGGTTTTCATCTTTCCCTTCAGCTTGACAGTTTGGAAGATGGTTTTGCTCTCCCGGGGCTAATGCGATTGGTGAGTGAGGCATCTTACTTCCTCGCAGTGATGGGAAATGATGAAAACGATAAGTTGCTGGCCTGGAAAAGCTGTGTCCCCCAAACAGCAGTGTCCTCGCTGCACACTCAAGGCTTTAATAGAGGGCATGTAGATCTCTGGGAGGACCCCAGTATGTTTTGTAGGAGTTAGTAAAATGCATCCAACAGTGGATTGTGGAATGGGGACAAACGGAAGGGGTAATCAGTAGTTGAGGTTGTTAAATACCGTTTAGAGAAAGAAGTGTTCGTTCCGGTACATCTGTTCCTTCACCCGAACGATAAGTGACCTGGCCGTATTACTTTCTGCAGTAATTCTCAGTGGGGCATGTCCTGGCTCTCTCACCCGTTAGAGAACAAAAGTTAGGGAAAACCCAAAGAGGGGAAGCAGGCCTTAAAAAACCCTCACAAACAGCAGTTCTGGGCTCGGGCATGTCTAAGAGGTTGCCGGGTAGATGAGTGAACGTTACTCGGCACAGAAAATGCCCCAAAACAGGAATCCGCTTCCACTAAGTCTGTTTATAAGATTGTTTCAAAGGAGTTGACCAATCGTGACAAAAGTGGGAGAGAAGAGACCCTTAAATGTTCCTTCTAGGGACCGCTCGCTCTGTGCTGGACACTTGGCGTGGTGCTTTTTAGATGTTAACCGGTCCGTAGAGTGTGGTTATGATCCCCTCCTTTTTGAGCCATCGGGCCCCAGGCCGTGATCTGCTCTGTGGTCAGGGACTAGAAAACGGCAGAGCCACACGGAAGCTCAGAAGCTCAGAGCTGCCTGACGGAGAGAGTCCTTGCTCTTTCTGTGTATCAGCAGCGTCACCAGGCAGTCTCAAGAGCATTGATAAAGCAGAGAAGAGCCTGAGGAACATCTCACCTTTTGTATCTGAGAGCAGAGGGGCTCAAAACCCAGGATTTCAGAGTCGCAGCAGCCACAGCCCGGTCACCCGTCGGCCCGCTGTCTGACGAACTCAGCGTACATTAAGGGTTCTGCCTAAGCGTTCGGCAGAGACAGCCTTTGCGGTGGCCGCCGGGAAGTTAGACCGCCCAGGTGGCTGTTTGCTCCCTCTTGCTCGCGTGCCCTTGGTAACCCGTCTCTCCACGTTCCTCCTAGTCATGCTTCGGATGTCCTGGAGACCTCTGGGTGGAAGTCGATGGTGGTGTCACATCCCCACTTGGTGGCTGAGGCGTACCGCTCTCTGGCTTCAGCACAGTGCCCTTTCCTGGGACCCCCACGCAAGCGCCTGAAGCAGTCCTAAGATCCTGCCTGTTGTAAGACTCCGTTCATTTTCCTGAAGCAGCAGCCGCTGTTGCTGCCCGTGACCACCGGGTAGACAGCGCGATCTGTGGAGCTTTTACTCGTTGCGGGGGCGAAAGACTGCATCGTGGCCCCCAGACTTTTAAAACAGCACTAAGTAACCTTGGGGGAAACGGGGGGAGGGAAGGGCCCGGGGCCTGGGGCTGTCCAACCTAATGAAAACCCTGTTGCTGCGTCACTGTGTTCCCTTTGGCCCGGCCGAGTTTGACACTGTGGGGATTCAGTTTAGGCGCCGACCCTGAGGACGTCCCGGCGGTGGCACTTCGGAGAAACCTGTCTGCATCTGACTGAGCAGAACAAATCGTCAGGTGCCTGGAGCAAAAAGGAAAAAAAAAAAAAAAAAAAAAAAAGACATTTAGTTTTAAGAGAAGGGAAAAGAAAAGGCAAGAAGAAAGGATCTTTGCAGAATTTCTCAAAAATCAGTTTGTGGATCCCAGGTAGTATTTATGTTGAGAGAAATCGTAGTCCATCCAACTGTGCGGAAACTCGGATGTTTGTGAAAGCTCTTCACCACCGTGTGAGTGTCAGCAGAGCCCTCTTGTTGTTAGCACTTACTGTTTGCGAGAACGGAATACATCCTTTTATCCTTTCATGAAAAACAAGTGAAGGCGAAAGGGGAAGGAGGTTATCTGAGCTGGAAGATGAGTGTCTGATGTGGTGGCTTTTGCAAAAAACCTTTATTGGTGTTGGAAACTGGAAAAAACAATTCATCCAGAATTCCTACTGTCTTGACAAGAACCGTGGTTCTCGGTTTTTAGATATTGTGGAAAATGTTTTTTGGCCTTTTTCTCTGATTTTATTTCTCCTCCCTCCCCCCCCCCTTTTCTAAAAAAACAAAACACAAAACAAAAACAGAACAAAAAGAAGAGGAAAGGAGATTTTATTATTAATGCCGTGTGACAAGAATCCCAGCCCAGATTGCTCAGCTGTTTGCACCTGACTTGCCACCTGCAGAGGAGCCAGTCCCGTCCCTTCCACTTCACCCCTTTCCTACAGGGGACAACTTCCAAATGTTAATTTTTTTCTTTTTGAAAATATAAATAATTACTATTTTGTACCGTGTGGTATCTCTGGTCTTTTGTTCCACTCACCTGGCTGGTTTCGTGGGTCTGAATTCCGTAAGGGATTTCGAAGGCCTCGTTTGATCCTTAACTTGCAGAGATATTTGAAATGTCCGTCGATGGGGATTTGTCGCGTCTCCCTGATCTCGAGCTTCCTCCGTGAGCTCCCGGCATCTCCTGGTGTCTTGTCCGTCTTGAGTATCTGTCCCACAGTCCACATCCTAATGAGGGATCAGGCTCCCACCTCTGCCGAGGCAAGTAACGGGAGGGGGCTATGCCCTACGTGTTCTAACACCTGAGTCCCAGTCTCCCTTCTCCTAGGTAATTCTAAAAAGATCAAGGGGACACGAACGTGGAGATGAAATAAAGGGAAGTTATTATCGCTGACTGGTTCTGTCACTGCCTTGATGTGTTTCCAGAAGAGTTAATGCCCGAATTCCCAGTGCGCTCACAAGAACGCTCCGGGGCTCCTCTGCCTTTCTGACAGCAGTGTCGGACAGGCCAGGACGGTGGGATTCTCTGGAAAATGCATTGGCCACGTGGCCGAGGTGTGTGCTGTTTGACCTTAGACGGGCGACTCAGCATATCCCACCCTCCCTTTCCCTCCAGTGACTTTGGCCCTTGCAGGTCTCGCAGTCTCCACTGACCTTGCCAGTCCGAGAGTGGACTGGCTTTGCTCTGGTATCGGTATAACCGAGCACAGGATCTGCTCGTTAGAAGCCACTCCGTTGTAGGACTCAGCTTCCTCCTGAGTGTCACGTGAGGAAGTGCCCAGTTCTCCGTGTTGTGGCCGCTGCCCTGTGCCGCCTCATCCTCACTTTCCGGGTCGGCGCACGGGCCCAGGGGTCCAGCACACCTCTACCCACATGGCCTCTCGGGCCACTGCACTCGCTCAGCTCTCCTGTTCTCGCTGAACCTTCACGTACAGCATTTCACTTCCCATCTGCCACGTGATGATAGCACCTCCCCGTTCTATAGCAAAGAGGAGTGGACCCCCAGGGAAGTCAAGTGACATGCCTCAGAGCGTGTCTTGGCATGAGCCACAATTCTTCTGATGTAGTGCCCTGAAGAGCTTATGTAAGTAACCGGAGGAAGTTCCATTTCTGAAAAGTTTAGGTACGAGATCTGAGTGAAAGCTTCCTTCTTAGGGAAAAGCGAGAGCAAAGCTCTAGAAAGAGGCCTCTGCCGGCCTGTTCTTCAGAGAGTCCAGGAGGACCGGCCCGGTTTCAGATTTGCTTTCCTCCTGGTTCGTAGAAAGCTGGGGGGCTGGGGGCCGGTGGTTCAGGGAATATGTCCTCGGGGAGGAGGCAGTCCCGGCACCGAGCTTCTGTCAGGACAAAGGTCTCTTTGGGATTTCCCAATATTCTTGGAATTTCCAATGTGGGCTTTACTGTGGGCACACAGCTGTTAGGATTTCGGGTACAGGTGAGGCTGCTCAGCGCTTCTCCTGTCCTTATGATATTATTTCTGGACGTGTTTGTTTTTGTTTAACTGATACAGTTGAAGCCATCTGGTTATGACAACATCAGAGCCCCAGCATACTGTTCATAAACCTCCCACTGCCGCCACCCCCTCCCTTAGCTCCCCCACATCTGAAATTTAATTCAAGTTAACTCCACAATCTGGGGCATGTGCTGTCACCGCAGAGATGTCCGTGCCAGTGGAACAGTTGGAGATTTCAATTCCACAAGGGTATAGGCTTATTTATCAAAACAATATTTCAGGCAAGTAGTTTCACAGAACCTTTGGAGTTATGGTTTCAGGCCCAAATCGAGTATCTGGCATCGCTCCCCACCTCCCCTCCTCCTCCCTGTTGTCAGCCCCCCTGTATCTCGCCATCCGTGGAAAATTTTCCCATTCCCTCTGCGGAGATGAAACCTCTCCGTGTTGCCGTGGGGCCTCTCCAACACCTTTATGGGTTTTAACAATTCAGGTAAGAGAGGCCTCTCTTTTCTTTGTCACTGGTAAGTCGGCTGGCCTTTCAGGTCCGTAGAGAGACTTCTCTTTGTTGTTGTCGTTGTTTGTTTTCTTAATTCTAGCCGGGGACATGGAGACCCTTTCTTAGGCCAAAAGATCTCTCTGGCTTCCCCATCCTGCACATCCATTTGTAAATCTGATTGAAACCTATTGTGGGTTCTCCGTCTTGTGTGAGCCTGTACAGATGAAAGGAAACAGCTTGTATGTTTATGAGCAGAAAAACAAACAGAGGGGGAGTCGGGGCCGCACTTTGAAACTGTTGCTTTGTTCCCGCTCCTCAACTCCTCCAAAAGCACAGCAGCTGACTCCCCCAACACGACTGTACTGGATCCGTCGGTTTATTTTCGTCAAAGACAAAGTCTTGGCTGGAACCCAACCTTATTTTCCACAACCAATTATCTTTTTAATCAGCCCGGGCCCCGTGTGTTTCCTTTATCTCATGACTTCTTGCTGAACTCTGCCCTACATCATTTAGATTCATTTCTAATGGCCTGCTGACTAATCTAACATTCAGGTGAGGATCGTTGGGCTGCTCTCTGTGTACGCGTTTGCATAAGGTGGAGGTGTGTTCCCCCTTTTAATTTCAGAGGTGACCGCACCACGTGGGGGCCTTTGACCCAACAGGGAGACACCTCACGGAGGCAGTGAGCGAGAAAGCAAATGGAGGAAGATCAGTGTTTGGGATAATGAGCTGGGAGAACCAGAAGCTTTGACCTCCGGATGAGAGCGGAAACTTGAATGTTGTTGACTGATGGGATCTTTATGCCGCTAAGCCATTAGCAAGATGATCACTCCCCCTCTGTAAATCCTGTAATGTTGGGAGTGGAAAGTGGCATCTGGAATACTGTTTGCTTCCGACTCCTGCAGCTCTAGGAGAAAAGAATTTTAGACTTGAGGGAATTCAGCACGAGCAACAGAAATGATTAAGGAGTTGAAGGGGATCAACTCTAGGGGGAACACGTTATGAAGATAAAATATGCACAACTCAAGTATGGCAACGTGGCATCGGGACCCACAGTTTACAGATCTCACAGGAGTTTTGAGCACTTGCCAGCTTGTCTCGCACGGTTCCCCTTCATCCCAATCGTATAGCTTGCAAAGGTGATAATGTGGCTTCCTCAAGGTCACTCAGCCTGGCTCTGAGCCAAGAAACAACAGAAGGCAAAGGAGTAGCTTTGGGGCTTAGGCCCAGGGCCCAGAGAGGAAGTGGAAATCCAAGAGTCTGCCTGGCAGTGAAGGGCACACACACCTGCTCGTAAGGCCCAGTAGAAACGGGGAGATCGTTGGCTTTCTTAAACCCTTACAGGTGAGCTCTTGACAAACCAAAGGGAAAAAAGGGCCCCCCACGCGGTTTACTCTCTTGATGTCTGAGCAAACAGGCATCCAGCCAAGTAAAGAACAGTCACGTCCAAGGTCCCAGGGATGAACACTCAGGCCAGTGATTCAGCAAACAAGGGCCGAGCACCTGGAAGGTGCCAAACCTTGTGCTAGGCTAGGGTTGGGGTGGAGGACACTCTGTGAGTTCCGTCTAATGGAGGAGGCAGGGGAGGGGCCCTCAGAAACAACGCAGAGCGGTCATGACATTGAGGACTGAACAGCAGACTAGAATTGGGCGGTAAGGAAGTCCTTTGTTACCTTAGAGCAGCTTCTGTCAAATGGTGGAGGCAGGAGGCAGAAGCCAAGACTGATGCGAAGGTAAGCAAATATAGAATGAGTATAAGCTGCTCTTTGCAGAAGTTTGGCAGGGAGAGAGAAGAGGAATGTCTCCCACCCACTCTTAAGGACTTCCGTCTCAATTTAGTCAACACGTTTATTTTTGTCTTGAAGTTATGGTGTACAGGTTGTTCCATAAAATGACACTTTAGTAACTGATATTTGTAATAAGATGTATGCGGAATAACTGCAGTTTTAAGTTGAAGAAGAAAACAATCACCTTCAGCCCTTACACAATTTTGAGGATGGTTTCCTAAATTTAAATTTTTTTTTTCAACGTTTTTTATTTATTTTTGGGACAGAGAGAGACAGAGCATGAACGGGGGAGGGGCAGAGAGAGAGGGAGACACAGAATTGGAAACAGGCTCCAGGCTCTGAGCCATCAGCCCAGAGCCCGACGCGGGGCTCGAACTCACGGACCGCGAGATCGTGACCTGGCTGAAGTCGGACGCCCAACCGACTGCGCCACCCAGGCGCCCCCGGTTTCCTAAATTTAGACACACATACGTTGCTATACTTCTTCCACC